ATGTTCGTCTTTTTATCCCCTGTCTGTACCCCCTTCCCGACTTGAATTGTGAGCCGCCCTGAGGCGGCATATAAATGTAATAAATCCAATCCAATCCTCTACGGCCTCCTGCATTACCCTGCCCGCCAAAACCTTTTGAAGCCCCCCCCCCCCCCGGCCCGTTTTTGGCTGGCAGAGTGCTGCAGGCTGAAGGCTTTTGGCCAGCAGAGGCCATCCGGGCTAAAACGGGATGCGGGCCGGGCAGGGGGGCACTTCAAAAAGTTTTGGCAGGCAGGGTAATGCAGGAGGCTGTAGAGGCTGAACACTGGCCATGTGAGGCCCCCCACGGCCCAGCAGGGTAATGCAGGAGGTGCCCGTTCTGTCTCCCCCACATACAGAGAACTACAATGCTGATTCGGCCCTCAAAGAAATCCAGCTCGACACCCCTGCTCTAAGGGATGAAGGATTTAAGGAACAAAATTAAGGAAGTCTTTTTAAATACCTAAATTCAGCCACCGAAGAAAAAGCTGCATTGGTCCACAAAACTTTACTGATCTCCTGAAGCTGCTCTGCTTTTTCTAGACACTCTCCCAAGGTCACCCTGGAGGCTGACAGAATAGGAAGACCTGTTGTATCCCATTGGCTCCACTTGTTGCTGCTAGTTAGAATTTCAGAGAGGCACTTGGAGAAAACTGCTCGATTCAAAATACCCACACCCTAAAATTAATACAAATCAAAATGCACATTTAAAACACTGATAATCATATAAAATTAAGAGGTTAAGCCCACAACCTTTAAACTAATTGTAATCAAGGAGAGCTAACATGCATGGCCAATATTCCAAATGTAGTAAATCCTCTTTGTCTCATACAATAATTATTTCCTATGGAAGTAATAAAACTGTGGTCAAGGAAACTGTTACAATGGAGGGAGGGAGGCTCTTCCCGATATCCTGATCTTCAATACTGTATATAAATTGGAAAGAGGAGAGAGAGTTAGTTCACTGCTTTCCCAATTTCTCCCATCGGTGGTTTTCACGGTCCAACTACACTGAAAAATCACTGGATATAAGAAAAAGGAACAGCAAGTTGTAGTAAAGATTATTGTTAGAAATGACTTTTGCACTCGATGATTAAGTGATAAATGGTGCATTAATTAATTAGGAGCACAAAATAGAAAAATAAGAGTCCTGGGCATAACAGGTTTTAAAAATGACCCAGCTGCAAATTTTTTTTTTTAAAAAATTAAGTGATTGAAGTTTAACAAATACTGCAGCATCTAATGCAAGAAAATGAGAACTCTTTTAATTCCTGTGAATTACTAGTAAGCACATTTCTAATTTGAATCTTCCAGCATTAATTAATGCAATTATACACAATAAAATTTTAGTAAAATGTCTATCTGTAGAAAACTAATTAAAGTAAAGGAACCACAAAAATCAGTCCAGTGAGCATGCTCAATAGGGACAGAATGAAAAAAGGTAAAGCCTTCTCTGTCAGCCATATCTGCCTCTAGGGGGTGATGCTCATCTCCGTTTCTTGGCTGAGGGAGCCAGGTTTCTCCAAAGACAATTTCCGTGGCCAGGTGGCCAGCATGACTATATGCAAAGGTGCATGGAATGAATGCTGTTACCCTCCCACTGCTGTGCTACCTATTTATGTACTTGCATTTGCATGCTTTCGAACTGCTAGGTGGGCAGGAGCTGGGGCAGGGAATGGGAGCTCATCCTTTGCATGGAGCTCGAGTCTGGAACCCCGGCTGTCAGCTCTCCAGCTGACAAACTCAGTGTCTCTAACTGCTGAGCCATTGCATCTCGGGATAGAATGACATACAGGGAAAATTGTGAAATAGAATATTGGGTTGAATGGGAGGGAAGA